ACCACACCACTTTTTGCAAAAATCGGCAGTGGTTTACCACTGTCTGCAAGGAAATTTTTAACTCCTCAGCTTGGCATTCGAGACCTGTTTCCAACTTGCATTCCCCTCCCAGCCCTCCGTGCCAGCCATCCTCTGACACCTGCCCTGCTTGCCATTAGCATCTAGAATTCACTAGCGCTCGTTATGGGCCAAGTCCCGTGCAGAGCACTGGGTGTGTGTCATTCCACTTCATCTTCACAAGGACTCTGTGAGATACTACGATTATGCTGGTTTTATGGAAGAGGAGGCTGGGGCGTCAATAACTTAAGATCACGCAGATCTCAATAGAACCCCCCAAATTTGGACCCTTATCCATCTGCATCCACATCCACACTGTAACCCCTTCTCTCAGCTCATTTTGTGCTTTTTTGAAGAAAATTTATTTATTTGAAAAGCAGAGCACCAGAGAGGAAGAGAGAGAGAGAGAGAGAGAGAGAGAAACTTCCATCTACTGGTTCTTTTCCCAAATGGCCACAAACTGCAAGGTGTGGTTGGACCAGGCCAAAGCCAGAAGCCAGGAACTCCATCCTCATCTCCCACATGGGTGGCAGGGGCCTTCCTACACTCGTTAGCAGGAAGCTAAACCAAAACCTGGGGCTTGAAGTGGTCCTCCCATGTGGGCAGTGGGATCTTGGCCCTTCCGCCTGTGCTCTGATGCTCGGGCTAGGGCCGTGCTCAGGCCTTCTCCCAGCCTGGGACAGCCCTACTTCCCCCGTGCTTTCACCCTCGCAGTCCCAGCTCTACTGGCCTGTCCTCCTGAGTCTTTGCACCCTCTCCATTCTGACCAGCCATATTCTCCTCTGCAGTTTCACATGCATTTCTTCTTCTTCTTCTTCTTCTTCTTCTTCTTCTTCTTCTTCTTCTTCTTCTTCCTCTTCCTCTTCCTCTTCCTCTTCCTCTTCCTCTTCTTCTTCTTCTTTTTGACAGGCAGAGTGGACAGTGACAGAGACAGAGAGAAAGGTCTTCCTTTTGCCATTGGTTCACCCTCCAATGGCCGCCATGGCTGGCGCACTGCAGCCGGCGCACCGCGCTGATCCGATGGCAGGAGCCAGGTGCTTATCCTGGTCTCCCATGCGGGTGCAGGGCCCAAGCACTTGGGCCATCCTCCACTGCACTCCCTGGCCACAGCAGAGAGCTGGCCTGGAAGAGGGGCAACCGGGACAGAATCCGGCGCCCCGACCGGGACTAGAACCCGGTGTGCCGGCGCCGCAACGCGGAGGATTAGCCTAGTGAGCTTCGGCACCGGCCCCTCACATGCATTTCTAATTGAATGCAGGTATTCTAATTACCTGAACAGGCACTGTCCTCCACCCAGGTCTATGAGCTCTTTCCAGGCAAGGATCTTGACTCATTCTTTCGTAAAATCAGCATCCAAATTCCAACTCACAGTTGGGATTGAGTGCATCTGTTTTGAACATCTAGGGATGACATCCAAGGATGAAGACGTCGTTAAGGAAATAACCACAAGGGGGCAGTACCAATGGGTCCGGTGCAGAATGGCCCTTCCTCTTCCATCTGGGAGCAGGTGTCTGGATTAAGAGACCTACGAGGCTGAAACAGCAGCCCTCGGGGGCAGAGGAACCAAAGCAGAAAACGATGGAAATGTGCTCGGTCAGAGATGGCAGCAGCATTGTGCAGCATGGCGGGAGGACTGGAAGGCAGGGACAGGATGCTATTTCGGAGACTTTGAAAACTTTTGAAAATTAAAATAAAAAATATTTGGAAAACACAATGAATATAGCTTTTTTAAAAAAATTATTTATTTTTTACTTGAGAGTCAGAGTTACACAGAGAGAAGAGAGGCAGAGACAGAGAGAGAGAGAGAGAGAGAGAGAGAGAGAGGTCTTCCATCTGCTGGTTCACTCCCCAGATGGCTGCAACGGCGGGAGCTGTGCCAATCCGAAGCCAGGAGCCAGGAGCTTCTTCCAGGTCTCCCAAGAGGGTGCAGGAGCCCAAGGACTTGGACCATCTTGTACTGCTATCCCAGGCCATAGCAGAGAGCTGGATTGGAAGAGGAGCAGCAAGAACTAGAACCGGCGCCCATATGGGATGTCGGTGCTTCAGGCCAGGGCATTAACCCACTGCACCACAGCACCGGCCCCACAAATATAGCTTTTTCTGCAGAATATGCTTTGTTCTTGCCTTACAAACGTTACATCTTGAGTTTTATAAGCATAATTTGATTAGCAAACCAGGAAACAGCACATTCTGTGTTATTACAGAAGACATGCATTTAGATCTATAAAGAGGCCTAAATAATGAATGCTATCTCCTGTTATTCTCCCCAAATTTTGTTATTTCTCTCTCCCTTCTCCTCCTAATTGTCACCCATGGGTTTTACCTTTCAAATTATGGGCTATTTAGTCTTCATGTTTTGTTACTGTTGCTTTGCTGCATTGTCTCCAGTTAAAAATGCTTAGGAAGACACAGAACTTTTGAGATACGTTGTTTTCCTAGCGATGTTGGAGATTGGGGGGACCCATAGCTGATCCTGGAGGGACAGGAAGCCACAGAGCAGTGGCAGGTGCTCTGGGACTCTGCTCAGGAATTCGTGAGATTCTGGGGTGGGTTTCTGGCCCATAAGTTAAGGCATCAGCTGAGATGCCCACACCCTACATCAGAATGCCTGGGTCTAAGTCCCAGCTCCGCTCTTGACTCCAGCTCCCTGCTAATGTGCATTCTGGGATGCAGTGGGTGATGGCTCAAGTATTTGGGCCCCTGCCACCCACGTGGGAGACCTGAATTGAGTTTCTGGCTCCTGGCTTTTGCCTGACCAAGCTCTGACTGTGGTGGGCACTTGGCGACTTGCACCTAAGCACTCTGGTGTGGGATGTGGGCGTCCCAAGTGAGTTGTTAACTGATGTTCTCAGTACCTGCTCTGGACTGCTGGTTCTTTAAGAGGCTGAGAACAGGGCCGGCGCCGCGGCTCACTAGGCTAATCCTCCGCCTAGCGGCGCCGGCACACCGGGTTCTAGTCCCGGTCGGGGCGCCGGAGTCTGTCCCGGTTGCCCCTCTTCCAGGCCAGCCCTCTGCTGTGGCCAGGGAGTGCAGTGGAGGATGGCCCAGGTGCTTGGGCCCTGCACCCCATGGGAGACCAGGAAAAGCACCTGGCTCCTGGCTCCTGCCATCGGATCAGCGCGGTGCGCCGGCCGCAGCGCGCCGGCCGCGGCGGCCATTGGAGGGTGAACCAACGGCAAAAGGAAGACCTTTCTCTCTGTCTCTCTCTCTCACTGTCCACTCTGCCTGTCACAAAAAAAAAAAAAAAAAAGAGGCTGAGAACAGAGTAGGCAAAAGTGATGACAGCAGATCCCCCATACCAGCCAGCCATGAGCCCTTCCTGGAGTGGCATTAGAACAGCGCCATGTGTGAGCGAGGCTTCCCTGGGTGGCAGTGGGCGCTGGTGAAGACTGAGTGTCCCCAACAGGACACACCCTCTTGCTCCTTGTGCACAAAAACAAGGCCATATAAGGACAGAGCAAGAAGTCAGAAAGAGAGGCTTTGCCTGAAGCCCACCCTGCCAGGCATCGATCCTGGGTTTCCTGCCTCCTAGGCTGCGAGAAAACAAAAGTCTGTTGTGGAAGTCACTCAGTCTGCAGCAGCTTTTTTTTTTTTTAATATTTATTTATTTGAAGTCAGAGTTGCAAAGAGAGATGGACAGGGAGAAGGAGAGAGATCTTCCAACTGCTGGTTTACCCCCCCCCCCCCAGGTGGCAGCAACAGTCAGTGCTGAGCCAAGCTGAAGCCAAGAGCCAGGAGCTTCATTTGGGTCTCCCATGTGGGTGGCAGGGGCCCAAGCCCTTGGGTCATCTTCTGCTTTCCCAAGCACGTTAGCAGGGAGCTGGATTGGAGGTGGAGTAGCTGGAACTCTAACTGGCACCCATATAGGATGCTGGTGTTGCGGGCAGCAGCTTTACTGGTTACAACACAATGCTGGCCCCAGGCTGTGGATTCTTCTTATGGCTTTGTGAGCGGTCTGAATTAGGCACTCAATGCACTTCTATGGAAGCAAGGACAGCTCTCTATAGCCCCAGACTTGCTAGGTCTGTGTGGATGGAGAGTTTCCCACCAACACCAGACAGGAGGACTCTTGTGTTCCTTGCAAAAACAATGTAATGGGGGCTGGTGCTGTGGTGCAGCGGATTAAAGCCCTGGCCTGAAGCACCGGCATCTCATATGGGCACCAGTTCTAGTCCCAGCTGCTCCTCTTCTGATCCAGCTTTCTGCTATGGCCTGGGAAAGCAGTAGAAGATGGCCCAAGTGCTTGGGCCCCTGCACCCACGTGGGAGACCCAGAAGAAGCTCCTGGCTCCTGGCTTCAGATTGGTGCATCTCCGGCTGTTGTGGCCATCTGGGGAGTGAACCAGTGGATGGAAGACCTCTCTCTCTGACTCTACCTCTCTCTGTAACTCTTTCAAATAAATAAAATTAAAAAAAAAAGAGTAACTGTGCCTGAAGGATCTTAAGGAAGCAATGAGAATGTCCTAACTGATTTATGGTTATGACTTCACTTACAGCTAATTCAGCTGCTCTGCACTGGCTCCTCTTATCCACCCAGATGAGCACCAAACTCTGTTCTGTGCTCCACAGAGCACTCGAACTTTCTCCTTCACCCTACTCCTCACCTTTTACTCTCATCATTTATTTGGCACCCATATTTCTTGCCAATCTATAGGCTAGTAGGGATATTCTTGGGCCCCAATGTGGCACCTGACATACAGCAGGAGCTTAGAACTCCGAATTGCATGAATGAATACAGGAATGAGGTGGAGGCCAAAGGAGCAGGCAGCCCTTCCAGGAGCACATAGATTCATTCAGAACCCAGCACTGTTCAACCGAAGGAGCAAGACGATCTCCCCAGGGAGGGCATGAGGAGGGGCATGGGGGGGGGGAGGCTGGAGCAGGAGCATGGCGGAGGCATCTCCTGCCACCGAGGAAGAGGAAGGGTGAAAGGAGGGAGGAAGCTCAGGAGACTGCAATCCCGGGAAGGAACTCAGCTCTGGGTCATCTTCATCCAATCTCTAAAGGAGCTCTTCTAATTTGTGGAGTCTCCCCAAGCTCAAATGTTCTGGACTCATGGCCATCCTACTGGGCAGTGCTTTTCAACGTCAGAACTGCCTGGTGCGCAAGTTGTAAGTGTGAATCCTGGGACCCACTCCATCCTCCGGGGCCCGAGTCTTGGGCAGTGAGTAATTATTTTTAAATGAAAATTTGTGGGAGGATGGGGGCTGGGTCCACCTTGTCCACTCAGGTATCCCCCAAACCTAGCCCAGTGCAGTGGTGAGGTGCTCCATAGGTCTTTCTGGATGGATGGGCGGATGAATGAGTGGATTCTACACGCACAAGAATATGTTTATTTGACTTTGACTAAGGCAGAGAGAAGAGCTGCTGCCTCCTTCAGGCTTAGGGTTGCTTCTTCTCATCTCCTGGGCCAAATCCCCCATTGATAAGATGGGTGGTTGGGCTAGGGGAGCCTCCGTAAGTGGCAGCACCATGGGTCTCTGCTTTCTTCTCTTGCCTTGCCTGCTTTGAGAGGGAGGGAGAGAATCAAGGTAAATGTCAACCACAGTCCAGAGCTTTGTTGTCAGTTTTAATAGGAGAGGAAGAGGCAAACAGTTTAGAGAAACGTATAAAAAGACCTTATCCTTTAGGGCTGGAACATGATATGGTTTGTGCATAGCACATACATATTAAAAAAATAGAAGCATCACATTTCACAAGCACACGATTGAACAGTTTCTGGGTTTCCTGTCCGCTGCTCCCAAACTTGAGGACAGCTCTGCACCGGGACCCAGCCTGAGGTTCCTAATGATGTACAGAGAGAGAAGACCGCATCAGGACACGGCTGCCTGATGCTGGAATTTCAGTAGTTCGATGAGGTATACAAACGCGGTTCTGTATTGGCTATCTGCAGGAGGGACTGGATTCGGGATCTGCCGAGGGCACTGTCACATCCTCGGGCTGTCTAGGAGGCAAGCACCAAGTGAGTACTTCTACCTGTTTTTCTGACCTCGTCCCAAGCATTCCTATCTTTGGAGTTTTTCTGGGAGCTCTCAGCTTGGGTGGTTGGCTCCTCGAAGGGGAAGAAGGGGGAGGAGCAATCTTGGAGATGCACTTTACAGGCAGAAGAGTGTCAAGTGGCACTCCCTGGTGACCCCTGACCCGCATCTTTGGGGAAATGCATAGGGATGAGAAGAGTTCTCTAGCTGTGTCCACATGCAAAAGGTAAAAAGGGCACAGAGGGTAGAAAAGACATCTGGGTATCTTGGGAGTCAGCGGTCACATCCGGGAGGTATGTTTGCACGGGTGACTGTGGGACAACACAAGCAAAGGCAAACGATGTCAGACACAAGACTGGACTCTGGGGGTCTTCCATGTCTTTCTTCCATCAAGACTTGCAGGGAGTGAGAACTCAAAGGATTTGGGGTCTCAGGACAGAAAGGGGTTCAGAGCCCACAAAGGAAGGAAGAATCCCAAACTCTCCAGGGTAGGACAGAGATGGGAAGAGAATTTCAGGAGAAACCTCAAAAGGTTAGAGAGGTTTGTACCCTGACTCAGAGGACCAGAGCAAATGTCCTCTTTCTTAAGGCAGAGAATGGCCCTGACCAAGGGCTTGGACATGTGGGTTAGGGAGGGTGTGTCGAGGTGTGAGGAGACGTGCTGGCAGAGGGGAAGGCTGGCGAGGATGATGATGAGGTATTAATTATGAAATTATACGCTGATTTCCAAGAGGGGCTCACAGATGTATGGGAAGTGAGAAGGAAGGAGGGGTGGGAGGCACGAACAAGGCATTTGGAATTCTCTCGTTTCCTCTGAGGTCCATTCATTGTCCTGAAGGTGGTGGAGACTTCGTAAGGAGCCTGGGCTCCCCTTCATTTCTGAGCTAAGCTTTTCCAGCTGAGAAGTCTCATTTGCTCTTGGGAGAAGGACGAAGGCAGCCTGCTGGCTTTTGGAACCCCAAGTTCACATGGAGCTGCCAGAAAAGATCCAGGATAGAAGAGAGGCCAACGAGCTACACAACTCTACAAACCAGGGTCTTTGCCCAGGAGTTGGGGGAGGGAGGACCCAGGCCACTCCTGGCACATCCTCAGTGGGAGGGAGGGGCTCCCTCTTCTTCCCCTGTCCATGGCAACGTGCTCTGAAACCGCTGGATTCAGTGGGACTGACAGCTGAGTGCAGGGCTTGGTGGACCTGTGGCCATGGAGGAAACAGCTTCTCATGCCTGTGCGCGGTAGTGGGAGAGAAGGGTCTGATGCACTGGCAGACTGATCTTACTCCGTTCTGGTTCTTAAGCCCACTTCTCTGGATGGGCATTGGCTTTGCTCAGCGTGAGATGCTGTCAGGCCAACGAGAAATCCCTCGAGATGATTCCCTTGCATGGGAAGGGTGCTAAGGAGTCAGTCATTTTCAAAACCCTTAACGACTAGCACAGCATGGGCCCTGATATCAGTTATTGCAGATGCCTGCTTCTCCTAACCCGTGCCTGTCGGAGATAATCACTACACAGCAGCTGAGCATCAAGCCTGTTTGAGCGTGGACATTTTATAGCTTCTCCTTCTCACCCTTGGCATGAAAAGTGGGAGTGGACATTTGGGGAAACTCCTGTTTGGGACTGGAGTTTTCTGAGCCCCTAGAGAGATGTACAGAAGGTCTAGCTGTCCAAGGCTTTGAGGGCTCTCTTTAGAAGGTCACTTCCTTTCACATCAAATTAGCTCAAAGATCGAGGTAAAAAGGAATTAGTGCTTTAGGAACCTAAAACTTTTTTTTTTTCCCTGACCAGATCGCAGTCCAATTGCCCCACCTCACCACCTTCCACTCCCAGTTCTGTTGGGAATCAATATGCACCTCAGATTGCAAGTGCCTTTGTTTCCGGTGGAGTCCATTCAAGAGACCAAGCGCACTGGGCAAGGTCCTGAAAAACAATCAGCTTTGTCCCCTGCACTTCCGTATTCCAAGCGGTCAAGGGGGGCGGGGACCAACGTTGTGCCCCTTGCGCGTGATCCAAGGTCCCGGCTCCTGCTCGTCTCCATCCAAGGCCTGACCATGTCCACACCTGATCCAGAGCTCCTGCCATCTGCTCGGTCTCCGCTCACCTTGGTTTGGCCTTTGCGTGCTCCTCACCCAGCACACGCCCTCTTTGACACCAGCAGGGTGGAGGAGGTGGCCAACATGGCGTCCCTCTCTTGGATCGCCAAGCTCCATCTTCAGCTTGGAACCCCTCAGCCCAGATCTATCTATAGATGGGTGCATCTGCAAATAGACAGGTTGAAGATGAAGGCATTTGCAACAGATGAGGGATTGTCTTGCAGGCCGGGGCCCCTGAGAGTAGCACAGGGTGTCAGGTCATTTTGTAACTCGATGGTTGACATATGCCAAAGATATTTGCACTCTGCTACGGATCTCTCTGGTTTCAGATTTAGGAACATTCCAGTGGTTCAGGAATCTGAAGGCTCCAGCAGACAACATTTATAGCCACTTGGGGAACCTCTGCTTTAAATACTCGCAAAGGACAGACGGCAAGAAGGCATTGTGCAGCGGGGAGCTGCTTCAGTTTGGCGGCTTGATTTCATGGGATTATCACTCCTCTCCTACTGTAGGGAGGAAGAGGGGGAAACGCAGGAGGTCACAGTGCCCATTCGACTGCATCCAGGCCGCAGTGTGTGTGCGACATGAGGACGAAAGGAAGTGAGAGTATCAGATGAGAACTTGGGTGAGTTTCCTGGACACAGTTGGAGAGGAATTATCATCCGTAGTCCAAGGCCTCTCTACTTCCTCCATGCCCTGCTTTGCACCCCCACCCCTCCGCCCCTCGCCAAAGAGGTTGCCATTATTAGGATCCTTGTCATCTGAGGTTAAAATAAGACCCAGTTCAAAGTGAGGAAAAGTTGTGGGCAGGCAGCCTGGCCCCTGAGTTCTCGGAGCCACACGTAGCGCTGAGTGCTCCAGGCAGAGTGGCTCTCCTCAGAACATCCAGTCCCTTCCGCCGCCTCCGGCAGCCCTTCCTCAGCCGAACCACCCCTCTCCTGCAAGAAGGGGACCCCTTCCCCGAACCCTGGCTTCCCTGACAAGGCATCAGAGGGTCCCCAGAGCCCTCTCAGGCAGGAAGTGTGGGGGTGCCTGGTCACCCTCTTTCTGGTTTGCAATGAAATCTGTTACCCTCTGCCCCTGCCCTTTGGGCACTTAGGGGACAGCTGCTGCCCGGCACCCCTGCTCAGTCGGTGGCCTCCGAGTGGAAAGGTAATGGGAAAGAGGCAGAAAGGGAGCGCACCCATCCATCCCACTGGTTTGACAAGTGACATTCTTGCAAGCCAGTTCCTGCAGCAGTGATGCCAGGAGGAAGAAACCCGATGCTTTGAAATGCCTGAGCTCTGAGGCTATCTCTATAAAGACGTATGGATCTGCATCGACACATACACACTCCCACCCTGGCCTTCTGTGCACACGGTCACGCGCTACGAGGGTCATGTCCACCTTGCTTCCTCAGGTGAGGGCAGGACACGGGATCTGCTGCCGTTCTAAGAGGTCGGCTGCAGCCCCTCCCTTGGGTGTGTGACATACCATGGGGTCCGGAGTCAGGGGGCACCAGAACCATCTCCCCGAGCTCAAGATAAAGCTGGACTCGGAAGCCACAGAGGGGCAAGGGGGATCGTTCACTTGTGCAAATTCCAACAGGAAACGATGCAGCTTTCACCCCGCGAGCCTTCTTGCCTGGGTCCTCATATCCTGGGAAGGAAGTGAGTGACGGTCATGATCGGGGACACCTTGCTGCCCCGCTTCACCCGTCCGTACTTGCTCAGCGCAATGTAGGTCCCGCGGTACAAGTCAGACTCGTAGGCGTTGTAGTTGTTGGGCAGGAGGGTTTCTCTGAACTTGCATTCCTCTTGGAAGCTGGGCTGCAAAAGAGACGGACAAAGAGCAGAGGCCCAGTTAGGAACGAGACGGGCTGCAAATGCCAGCCGAGAGGGGTGGGGAGGGCCAAGAGCCCCTTCCCCCCTCTTTGCAGGACAACCGTTGCGAGATCCACGCCGTCCTGGGTAGCCAGAATCAGCAAAGGCGGGAGCAGGAGGAGACTTCAGGACTCTTGTGGCTCCTTAGGGAGAGGGAACCAAGGGCCGGGGATGTAAGTGGATGCTTTGTGTCACATAGGGTGGGTGGAGCTGAAGCCACCTCTGCTCCTCAGATCTCCTGACGCAAAGCTCAGGGTCCATCCACGAAGCCCCATTTGGAGAAAAGTCCTAAGCAAGAATACAGTGAGCTGGTTTCTCAAGTCCACTGTGAGAGGAAGCCCAGTGGAGAAGGACTGAGACCCGGGGTTCCTGTCACTGACTTCTCCACTTCCTACTTGTGTGACCTTGGGGAGGTCCCACCCCTCTCAGCCCATTTCCGTTTCTGCAAACCGTGTCTTGCAGGAAGAGAGCTTCCTCCCTCTGTAGGGACAAGCAGGGACAGAGAGGTGAGGAGCTGCAATTTTTCTCAGGGAAAAAGAAGCTGGTTCCTGATGTCACCAGTGGTGCCAAGGAGTCCTGGGGCTCAACGAGGAATTGCCCGCTTCCATGCTAATTGGGAGGAGAAGTGTGTGGAGGCCACTTGTTCTAATGCATCTTGGACTTCCTGCCCCACACCAATGCATTCATTGTCAATGCATCACCCAAGTCCTGCTTTCTTCCTAGAAAAGTGGGCCCTTTCCTCCCTGGCCTGCTGAGACCCTGCCCTGCCCGAGTCTGTAGGGATTTCTGGGCAGCTGAGGGGCAGTCAGGAGATCTGGGATCTAGTCTTTAAAAGAAATAGCTGGGGCCGGTGCTGTGGTGTAGTAGATTAAGCCTCCCTGCCTGTGGTGCCGGCATCCCGTCTGGACACCAGTTTGAGTCCCAGCTGCTCTACTTCTGATCAGCTCCCTCCTGATGAACTGGGATAGCAGTGGAAGATGGCCAAGGTCCTTGGGCCCCTGCACCTGTGTGGGAGACCTGGAAGAAGCTCCTGGCTTCTGGCTTCAGATCGGCACAGCTCCAGCCGTTGCGGCCAATTGGGGAGTGAACCAGCAGATGGAAGACCTCTCTCTCTCTCTCTCTCTCTCTCTCTCTCTGTGTGTGTGTGTGTGTGTGTCTGTGTCTGTAACTCTACCTTTCAAATAAATAAATAATTTTTTTTAAGAAAAGAAAGAACTGAATCAGACAGAGAGAGGTGGGGCATAGTTTCCAACTGTTTGCAGCTACCGGAAGCTCTAAGAAAATCCCACTCAAGGAGGCATGTCCTGCTGCCGGAGGAATCCTCCCCGGGCGTGGCAGCCTCCCCAGGCAGCGGGGTGGACGAGAGCTTTCTGGACAGAATGGGAACGAACCCTGTGAGTAGCCCTCGCTGATCCCTCTGCACACAATCTCTCCCCAGACTCCAGGATCCCCAACCAGGGTTGTGTCTTGGTGTGCAAGTGAGGCTGAACGTGTGATGACTGAAGGAAGACAACACTGAAGCAAAGGACACGCTCACACTGGGGTCTCTCCTGGTGCAGCATGCGAGTGGCCTCCCCCCTTCCCCCCAGCAGAACATGCTGTCTCCTTTCCCATCCACAGGCTCCACCCTTATTATACACAGCGCCTTCACCTGTGTGGGTTGGCTGGCGGTGGATGTCTAAGCTTTTGCCGCCAGGCCAGCTGGCTCCTGGACGCCACACCAGGCAGTTTCCATCTTCCCTCTGCCTCTCTTGTTGTGGGTGATCAGTAAATGAATGAGCCAGGAACTGTTCTAATGGTGGGAATAGCCCAATGAAATTCCAGAAAGAGTACATTTGCATGAGGTTAGACTACTGAGGGTTACTCTTTAAGTTAGCAATGTGCACTTGGCCAAGTTCCTTATTTCCTAAGCCTCAATTCCCTCACCTATACAGTGGGAGCCATAAGAATGGTGATGTCATAGAATTGGAGCAAAAATGAATACGCACAGTGCACGGAAAACCCTGGAAACAACACCCGGCACTTAGGAAAACAAAATAAAACAAGATATTATTATCAGTGCCATTCTCACTCTCCAGCTGGATCCTGAAGTCTCGCTGTGGGCTGAGGTCTGCAGTCCTTGACTGCGTGGCTGGGAGACCAGGAGCTGGCATGCAGGGGCACGGAGACGCCACGCCAGCCCTGGCACTGGGCTAACCCCCACGGACAGGCCCCGGCCCTGGCTTCTGAACCTGCACATGGGGTGTGCAGGGACTCCAGTGAGTGAAGGCTGTTAACGGGTCAGGCTCAGGAGCAGCAGCAGGATGGAAGATCAGGCTCAATCTCAAGTGCAAACATTAACTGAGAATTAAAGCAACACTAAGTAAAGGCCTGGCTCCGATCAACCAACAGAACAGAGTCCAGACGACGCCGTCTTCAGATAGATCACGGCAGACACAGATTGGGAGGAAACCATGCATGGAGCGCAAAAATGCTTGTGACCAAGTTTTAATTCTATCTTGTAATGAAAAGTTTGAAATATCCTCATATGTGAGCATAAAATAAAAACAAATCTGAAATTAATATAAAGCAGCATTTCAACTCACCGGAGAAAACAAGGTGTTAGAACAACTGGATAATTTTTTTTTTTTTTTTTGACAGGCAGAGTTAGACAGTGAGAGAGAGAGACAGAGAGAAAAGTCTTCCTTCTGTTGGTTCACCCACCCCCTGCAATGGCCGCTATGGCCGGCGCTGCACCGATCCGAAGCCAGGAGCCAGGTGCTTCTCCTGGTCTCCCATGCGGGTGCAGGGCCCAAGCACTTGGGCCATCCTCCACTGCACTCCCGGGCCACAGCAGAGAGCTGGACTGGAAGAGGGGCAACCGGGACAGAATCCAGCGCCCTGAATGGGACTAGAACCCAGGGTGCCAGCGCCACAGGCAGAGGATTAGCCTAGTGAGCCACAATGCCAGCCGATAATATCTTTTAATAATAAAGTATGAGTTATGACTTCATTCTTTAAATCAAAATATGCTCCAAAAGAAGCAAAGATTTAAATGTAAAAAAGAGAACCAAGAAAATCCAGAAAAAAATTTTTTTAAATCTTGGAATCATGAAGATCTTTCTAAGCAGAACACACAAAAAATCGGTAGTTATGAAAAAACTCATAAATTTGACTTCTACTTGAAAAATATTAGCTTAAACCAAATGAAAATATAAATGGTGAACTGGATAAAAAATTTACAATATACGTAGGTTAAAGAGCCCATTGTTATTCAGAATCCTTAACTTGCTGGAAAGTTAATGGCATTTATAAGTGAATATCATCAGAAAAGGAGATATAGGTGGCATACAAATGTAAGAAAATATGCCTAATAGGAAAAATATAAATCTTATATATTAAAATATAAATTGCCCTATATATTAAAATATAAATATATATAAATATATATACATGAGGTTACATTTGCAATAGTCAGATTGCAGACAGAAAAGCACTTCTTGTCAAACTTTTGTTGATGAAGGCAGAGAGATTAGGAATTCTCATTTAATGTCTTTTGGGGTATGTGTATTCTTATAACCCCTATAAAGAACCATTTGACCATTAAAAAAAAAAAAAAAGAACCACCTACCAGAAAAACAATGAATATAGCAACTGGTCATCAATCTCACTTGTAACAATTGGTCCTCCTAGGGGCTGGCGCTGCGGCCTAGCTGGTAAAGCTGCCACCTGCAATGCCGGTATCCCAAATGGACGCTGGTTCGAGACCTGGCTGCTCCACTTCTGATCCAGCTCTCTGCTATTGCCTGGGAAAGCAGTAGAAGATGGCCCAGGTCCTTGGGCCCCTGCACCCACGTGCGAGACCCGGAAGAAGCTCTTGGCTCCTGGCTTTGGATTGGCTCAGCTCTTGACTGTTGTGGCCATTTGGGGAGTGAACCATTGGATAGAAGACCTCTCTCTCTTTCTTTCTCTCTCTCTCTCTCTCTGCATAACTCTTTCAAATAAAATAAATAAAAATCTTCAAAGAAATAAAAAGAATTGGTCTTCCTGGCCCCCCACCCCACCCCCAGGCACACAGAAGTTACTGAAGCGTCGTTCGTTTCCAATAGTAACAGCTGGAAAGCGAGGAGGAGTCGTGAGAAGGGCAGTGCAGTACAGGAAGCCGTGAGAAACACAGATCTCTATTGTCTGCGCACGTGAAATGGCCCCAAAGACACAAAGCTCAGTGAAGAAGAGAGGGCTAAGTGGTGTGTGTAGCACACTCCTGTTGGTGTGATTTTTAAACAACGTCCTGGTGTGTGCACACACACACACAGGTTATCCCTGGAATAAGGAATAAGCAACAGGAGCTGCCTTGCGGGAAGAACTCGGTGACTTCAAGACACATGTAGGGGCAGCCCGAAATTTCCGTAGAATAATCATCTGTGTCTTCTATTCTTAAACTGTTCAGGGGTTACCTGTTACCTACTGCCGGGAAATGGAGTGAGAGAGCATCCTTAGCACACTGGTGGTCTCTGCTTGCATGGCCCCTCCGCAGGCCTGCCAGCCCCCTTGTTCTAACTTTACGCCCCCCGCCCAGACAGTTTCCAGGAGCATTTATTTATTTCTGACCTGGACCGTGGTTAAGGGAGAGGTTCCGGGTGTTGTTTGCAAACCCAAGAGAAGAAATCAAATCTTGGGGCAGAGGGTGTGGGGCATTACCAACCTCAGGGGCGAGGGTGGGAGGGAGACGAAGTCCACTTGAGAAGCCCTCTGCTTCCCTTGCGGGCTCCTTTCAGCTTCCCGCCACCCACGGATGGGGTCCAGTGGCGCCATAGCTGGGACATGTCCCCCAGGGGTTTGTGCGCTGGCAGCCTGGTCCTCAGGGTGGCAGTATTTGGAGGCAGCATGGAATCTTCCAGAAGCATTCAGGTCCCTGAGGGTGCTGTCCCCGGATGGAACTGCTGTCACTTTTGTGGGATCCCAGCTAGCTCTCACGAGGGGGTTGCTACAAAAAAAGCAGGCCTGGTCTCTGCTGTCCCTGGCTTTTGTTTCTGCATGCAATCTCTGCCCTGTGCATGCACTCCTGCCTCTGTGACGTCATCTGGCTCGAGGCTGCCTTTGCCAGCACAGAGCAGAAGCCAGCCCCATGCTCTTGAATCTGCAGAACTGTGAGAGAATAAACCCCTTTTCTTTATAAAGTACCCAGTCTCCGGTATTTCCTTATAGTAACAGACAACAGACTAGCACGGTTGCTAGGAGGCCCATGGCACGCTGGGGAGCACCACATTTCCCCTGAACACAGCCCAAATGCTCCAGGCTGGCAGGATTTTTCCCACTGGCCAGCGTGATGCTCCAGACCCAGCGCCTACTCCTCTCCATCAAATCCCTGAGCTGGGAGTTCTCATGGCTCAGGAATGTTGGCTCCTCAGCTCTGGTGAGAAAAGCACTCGAGCCAAGCGAATGCTGTGTTAATAAAAGCAGCTACCGTATATTATTACTTGAACAAATGAAAGTAATTCCACTGGGTCACATTTCCCGGGTCTGCCACGCTTGAGCCGCAGCGTGACAATGTCTGAAATTCCATGTGGGTCCAACCAGACTTATGTGGGACCAAACTCCACTCAAAAGAAATGCGTTCAGAGGGGCACAGACAGCCAAGGGTGGCTCAGGGTGCAAGGCTGCTGGCAGAAATGCCCAGAAAGCCCGAGACGACAGACACCCATCCTCTTGTCTTTAGACTGAGCTGAGTCATGGGGACTGATGGAGGTCTAGTTCCTTCTCCCAAGATCTTCACTCTGTGGCTCCTTTGGCCACTTGCCCCTGCTACTCCTGGCTGTGTGTGTGCGGTGGGGGTGGTGCACAGGGTCCTGGAATAGAGTGCAGAGGAAGGAGGTGACAAGGAGGAAAGAAGAGAGAAGAAAAGCAGCACTTCCTGCTAGGACTCTCCCTTCTGCAGCCCTTACCTGCCTCTTTTTCTGTGTAACAGACACGCAGGAAAGTCTCCCAGCTCTGAGAACGCCTGCAGGCTTGCAAGTCTTTTTCCTAACACCCGATTGCACAGTCAGCTAGGTACGATTGGGAAAGTTCTCAGCAGCTAGGTCGGCCTTTCGACTTTTTGTAGCAGGCAGAGATCTGCGTGCAGGGCCTCAAGCCCCTTGTTACTGCAAGCACGCATGGCCCCTTGCACTTCCCCAGGGTGGGGGGGCCTCTGTGTCTTTCCCCAGAGACCGCTGCTCTCTGCTAGATAAGAAGGCAGCTCACAGAGCAGAGAAAGATTCAGTTCTCTGCTCCACAGGCGAATGCTCTAGACATGGAGGCCTCTGCAGATGAAACCAATTGTGTACTTTCTTTTTTTTTTCTTTTTTTTTTTTTTTTTTTGACAGGCAGAGTGGACAGTGAGAGAGAGAGACAGAGAGAAAGGCCTTCCTTTGCCATTGGTTCACCCTCCAATGGCCGCCGCGGCCGGCGCACCGCGCTGATCCGATGGCAGGAGCCAGGAGCCAGGTGCTTTTCCTGGTCTCCCATGGGGTGCAGGGCCCAAGCACCTGGGCCATCCTCCACTGCACTCCCTGGCCACAGCAGAGAGCTGGCCTGGAAGAGGGGCAACCGGGACAGAATCCGGCGCCCCGACCGGGACTAGAACCCGGTGTGCCAGCGCTGCTAGGCGGAGGATTAGCCTAGTGAGCCGCAGCGCCGGCCCCAATTGTCTACTTTCATCTTATCATAGGACTGCCCGTGATCACCTGCCGTCATGGCCCCAACACTAATATCATTTAAAAGTGTGACTGAGTCCCAGATCATTTTGTCAGTAGGCATCAATATTTTCCATACTGGTATTTTTCTCAAACCAAGAATTCTAGCAAAACTGCCAGCAGGTGGAGGAGACCCCTGAAGTGTTGCTTTCCTAGTTTTCAAGGGGAACAAGGGGGTTGCAATTCCCTGATTTCAACCTCCATCTACACCCGAGCGGGCAGAATCCGGGACTCAAGAAGTTATTATTCTTGGTCCTCTGCTCCCAAGGCGGTGACCAAAGGCCTTTGTAGAGGAAATTGTTTTGTGCTATGTCAAATGCTCCTGTGGGGCAGGCCTGCACGCAGCTGGGGCTGGATGGGAGACCCCGGACACCAGTGTCCCCATCTGCAAGAGGAGGCTAAAGACCAAATGCACCTGCCAGAGGCGCCCTGAACCAATGCCTGGAAAGCACTCTGCAGGGAGCTCCACAAACAAGAGGTGCTCGGCACTTGCCTGGCCTCAGGAGGGAGCTAAGCTGCCCAGAGACGTGGGAGGCCACTTCCTCTGGGTGGGTTTCCTCGTCCCTCCCTCTCTGACCACGAATAGCCGCCAGGTCTCCTCACCCCCACCCGCGCCCCGCACACTTCCCCTCCTCCCCGTGAGAAAGCCCACTTAGCGGCAGCAGCAGCTGAGCTGCCAGGAGATGAGGCAGCTCAGGGGGCTTACAGAGAAATGGTGTGAATGAAATCATCACCCGGCGGGAGTCTTCCTGGCTCCGGGATCAGCTGGCAATTGTTTTTTTAGACTGCGATAATGGGACGGGCCTCTGAGGGCCCCAGCAAGGGCAGGGCGGGGAGTGGGGGTAGGAGGGGTGGGCTTGGGCAGGGGCACCTGGTCCTCAGCCACACCAGGTGCCCCAGTTTGGGCCACAGCTGCCCAGCCCTGCTCTCTGCACCCAGGACTGCCCAGCCCTGGGGTCGGGGAGCAGGATCTCCCAACTAGCAGAAGACACTCTGTAGCCAAATGCTGTGTGGGAGGGAGGGGAAGGAGGGTGCGGGTGGGAAGGGGGCTTCTTTTTGGAAAAGCCCTCCCCCTCCTCCTCTCCCTCCCCCTGTTTCTCCTGGACTCTGTCCATTTAAGGAGCCCTGAACTCATCTGCCCACTTGACCCTGCTAGCATCAGCCCAGCAACACAGCAGAGCGCCAGGCCCGTGTCTGGTGGGCGTCCACGCAGCTCACACTCCAAGGATGGCTCCTTTCCTCTTTGCTGTTCTGCTTTTTGCCCTCTGGTTGCTTTCTCTACCCATTAAACCTCGCATTGGAGAAGAGGTTATGTAATTGTGTTTCCCTCCGAGAAATGTCTCTGCTACAAGCCCACTGAATGGAGTCCTGTAGGCAAAAACCAAGTTCTCAGCCCACCAGTTATGGGCAATTCCTGGCGCTGCACAGGCGGCTGAGAAGGGGCCCTGTGGAAGGAGTCACTGCCAAGAGGGTGGTCCCTGCACCCCCAAAGCCTGGGCTGGACCCTGCTGCTTCCTGACCATCTCATCGCCTTTCCAGAGTGGTCAAAAGGGTGTCTGAGAACTCCAAGTGACAGGCTAGGTTTCATCTCTGGGCAGGTGTACCACGGAGGCAGGTGTACCCCGGGGGCGAGATGATTCCTTGCCCCCCAGAAGTCCTGTTTCCAGGTGGTCCCCAAGCCTGCCTGTGTCCCAAAACACAAGAGACATTTAAAAACAAAAGTGACACTTGGGGCCAGCATTATAGCATAGCTGGTAAAGCTGCCGCCTGCAGTGCCGGTATCCCATATGGGAGCTGGTTCGAATCCTGGCTGTTGCACTTGAGATTCAGCTCCTTGCTAATGGCCTGGGAAAGCAGCAGAAGATGGCCCAAGTGCTCAGGCCCCTGCACACACATGGGAGACTTGGGCTCCTGACCTTAGCCTGGCCCAGCCTAGCTGCTGGGGCCATTTGGGCAGTGAACCAGCAGGTGGGAGCTCTCTCTCTCTGTCTGTTTCTCTGTCTCTCCCTCCCCCTACCCACCCTTAACTCTGCATTTCAAGTGAATAAAATAAATGTTTAGAGAAAAAAAGCAGACATTTCTAAACTAATCCCAGCCCTACTGAGTCAGGGTATCTGAGGAAGGTCCCGGGATACCTGTACTTCCACAGATTACCAAAGTGATATGGATGCAGACTGTCCACAGAACTGCATGGCAGGTCCACTGACTTTCCTCCATACTACATATTCATGCAAATCAACCAGAGATGCTAGCCCTAGGATGACGGGCCACCTGGTCAACCATTCACACGTTTCTTGACCCTCCTCTGTTGAGATCAGTGCCTGGAGCCCGACACCCATCCCAGAACTATTTGTTCAGTCCCCGATTGTCAGTTTGCCCTCCACGCCCTTCCCATAAATAACTCTGCTTGGTATTCCTTGAGGATTGTTCTGGGGCTGTCCTTTTTAGCCTCCTTATTTCTGTACTCACAGATTCTTCAGCTTTGCAGGGATGTCTTCCCAGCCCATGTTTCTGGAATACGCCAAATCTCAGACTGCAGAACCCTGGGCATGAGTGGCTCAGAAGCCAGAGGCTTTGGCAAATGTGTATGGTGGGTGGCTACGTGAACCCAGGGGCCAGTGTGTGCCTTCCTGGGTGTGACCCAGGTGGTGCAGGGACAGCTGGACCGGGGCTGCCCAGAGAGCCCGACAGGGAGGTGCATCAGGGGACTTCCGAGCTCAGCACGTATGGAGGTGCAGGGAACCAGCCCCACCTGTGCCCCGGGGAACAGCCTCACACCAGCACCAAGGCTTCCCTGCAACCCAGAGCTCCCTGAGCTGTGCTTTCTGATTCATTGCAGAGGCCCTGGCATGTGGGGTCAGAAAAATCACGGCCCAAGGCCAAGGCTGACCAGATGGAAGCTTCAAGGCTCAGGCTCCTTGCACGGCTCCTGCTTTCCTCATCTGAGATAACGATTCCCTCCTCAACTTGGGATTCTGTGTTCTTTTCTTCAATGGGGCAAGGCCAGGCCTCCCCTACGCTGGCGCATCCCCCTGCCCGGTGAACTCACCGTCGTGTACAGTCTTCCTTTACTATTCATGGCAATGAAGAGGGCGCTTTTCACTCCAAAGAGACTCACCACGCCTCGCTCCACTGTGGAAATTTCCAGCAGGCCTGACAAAGAGATGGGGAGCACGTTACCCGGGGCGTGTGCGGATCAGCCTGCCAGGAGCGACTACGTCCGCCCCCCTTGCTCCTAGAAAGTCAGACGCTCGCCACCTGTGTCCTCCATCCCTCTAGCTTTAGGAATCCTGGGTGCGAGTCCTGCCACGACACCGTTACAGGTTCAGTTCTGCAGGGAGAAGCTCTGCACACCCCTCTGCGTCTAGTTGAGGTGGGTTTTAAATCTGAGATTTCCCTGCCGTAATCAGGCAGGTCCTTGTTGTGGGCAAAACCACACATTTTCCTGTTTATTATCATTATCATTTAACGTCCAGCTCACATGCATCAACCAATCTCGCCCCCTCTAAGCTCACAAACACTGGCGAGGGTCCTGCAGCCCCCATGCTCCCCCCCGGGGTAGGAGACCATCCATGCAGCAACCTCTCGACTTCAAATTAAAGACCTGGGGACCGAGCAAGCAGGCTGAAAGAAAACGAAGGGTGTGCTTCAGCCAGAAACTTTGCAGCTTGCCTTTCCTTCTCCTGAGTAAAAATAAGCCGGTGTCTAATTTGGTCCAAGGGTCCAGATTCATCCTCCCCACCCCAGCTTGCGGCATCCACAGCTGATGGTTCTTACCAGGACTCCGATGGACCCCACAGGACACCTGGATACTTGGGCCCGACCCCATGTAATCTGCGTCCAGGCAGAATCAGAAGGAGCCATTCGAGGGGTAACATCCCCCCCACCACAGCAAGGCCCCCAGGTCTGTCGGCCGTGCTCCAGCCTGAGCCCCCCGCGTCCCCGTGGGCTGCAAGGGCACTCACTGTAGGGACTCTCCTCGTGGACTCCACTGACCCGGCCGTCGGGAGGCACCTGGAGGTGAAAGCCGATGCCCACGTTGCAGTAGAGCCTCCGCTGCCGCTTGATGCCCACCAGATAGCCACTCTCCCAATTCACCCCGGCGATCTCTCCGGCCAGCCCAGCGCGGGACCTGGACAGCAGGGCGCCCCAGCCTCTGGAGGCCAGCAGCGTGCTGTTGGCGCGAGTGCCGGCCGGCGAGGGCACCACCATACCCACTAGGACGCCGAGGAAGACGAGAGCCCGCAGCGTGCCCTGAGGCCGTCCTGCTCCCCGGGACATAGTGATGAACAGCCTCTGTCCCCGCGCCATCCACCTTGCCTCTCAGGCACGTGGTCAGAATTAATGGCCCTAAAAATACCCCCCTTCTTGTTTTTCTCCCCTCAGCATGGCGGCAGGGGCTTATTTTTGGAAGGCAGATGAAGGCTGCTGACACGAAACCAAAGCCTGCTCCGGGCACTCGGGCTGAGAGCCTCGGGACCGGAGCTGAGCCGCGGCCGGTAGGGACCATGGCTTGGGGACGCTCTCTAGGTGGCCTGCTTGTTGTGTCCCGAGCTGATTATATTGGATTTGATCTATCTTTATAGCTCGGCAGCCCGGCCCTCCCCTGCACCCATCAGCACCCTGACGCCAGCCGGCCCAGGTCCCTTGCCCAGCCCTGTAACATTAACCTGCCCCTGGGCCTGGCTGCCTCCCCAGACCCCCATCGCCCTCCCCACTCCCCAGGGATTCTGGGAGCCACTGTCATTCCAACTATGAGGCAGGAATGAGGTTAGCAGGGAGCATCTCTGTGGGGGGAGGGGCAGCTGGCTGGGGGCCCAGGGGGAAGAGGGAGGCGAGAGGCCACCCAGGACCCAAATTGGGCAAGAGTTCTTGGGCTGGCAGTGCCAACTTCCTTATTTAGAGGGCAAACGGTAAAGACAGGGATGAGAGAAGGCGTGGAGGCAGACGGTGACAGTAGCCTACAAGTGTCTGGGAGACTTTTCATGGAAAGAGCTCGTGGTGAGGAGGGAGCTGAGAACGCAAGCCCTTTTGCAGGAGGGCATGGAGATTCTGGTTGGGGGCCGCTCTGAGGCGTCTTCGGGTTACGGAGGGCGGGAAGGCTGGGCCCAGTCCACCTGCTCACCATCCTGGTTAAGGCAGTCACCCCACAGGGGGGATGTTGTATCTGGACTTGAATAGCTCACTGATAACTCCCCTACCTGCGCTCCTCCTTGGGCTGTGCCCTGTGTTATTCCCATCATACAAGGGAGGAGGCTAGGGCTTAGGGATGGTGAGTGTCTTGCCCACGTTACCACAGCTTGCACACAGCCAGGTCGGAAATTGGAGGTATGTGCGTGATCATCCCTAGAATCAGCGTGTCGATTTCCGGGCTGCTCCGCCGAGTGGGTTTAGCTCACTCCATCCAGGAGTACATCGTGGGATTATTTCAGTAGCACAAAATGACGCGTTTCTTTAAAGATCCTTCCCAGAGACCTTTGACGTGCCTGGTATTTTCTGCATATGCCAGGCTGATATTACAGACAGAAAGTAGCAAAAACACTGCAGCTAACAAGTTTTGCCTACACTCAATTTTCTTCTCCCGTATTGCTTTTAAATAGATTACATGTCTAACTGATGCAACAAATCCCTTTTTCAAAAAGCTACCAAAAAAGCCTCATCTACCAATTGCTATGCAAATGTAAGAAAGAAGGAATTATGTTTCTGAAGGCAAAATGATTCTTTTAAAGGATTAATTTATTTATTTGAAAGGCAGGGTTACAGAGGGAGGGAGCAAGAGAGAGACAGAGAGATGGATCTTCCGTACACTGGTTCATCCCCCAAATGGCTGCAATAACTGTGGCTGGGTTGGGCAGAAGCCAGGAGCCCAGAACTCCATCCTGGTCTCCCATGTGAGTGTCAGGGGCTCAAGCACTTGGGTCATCATCTACTGCCTTCCAGGCACATTAGCAGGGTCCTGGATGGGAAGTAGAGCAGCCAGGACTTGAACCGGCACTCGTAGGGGATACCAGCATTGTAGACTGGAGTTTAATGCACTGCACACAACACGGGCCCCATGAAAGTGAAATAACTTAACAAGGGCCACGCAGGAAATGAACTCTAGCTTAAAATCTAGGCTTCTTCCCTTACACCTGAGGTCTTCATCAGCACTGATGGGGAGGGCTGTGTGGGTGGCGGCAGGGGCAGTAGACACGGGTTTGAGCACAGTGTGCGGGCAGGAGCTGACCCAGCTGACAGACTTCACCTGCGTGCCACACCCACACTGCAGGCAGCCTGGGAAAGCCATGGGCGAGTCCCTAGCTCCCTTCTGAGCCTGAAGCTCCTGCCGTGCCTGGGTCCCTGCCTCTGGTCTGTGGCTTTCACCTTCCTCCTGCCCATCAGTCTCGCTCATTTGGACTGATGCTTTGGCTTGAATCTCTGTCACACTGTATATGTCAGTCTCGCCTATGCGTGCTCTCCTTGAACCCTTGAAGGCAGGGCATGGCATTGCCCTCCGCTGGGAAACAGAGTTGGGGAGACAACCGGGCTTCATTGCTTGCTGGTACCCTCACCCAGGGCCCTGCCCAGCCTCCCAACCATCCTAGTTCTGTCACCTCCATTGCCACCACGTCCCCGCCACAAGGAGAGACTGGAGACTTGCGGGCACAGGTGAGGCCTTATTGCTGGGAAATCATTACACACATACACACACACACATAAACACACAAGAGGATTTGGAAGCATCTTTCTGCAGAGTGGGTGGGCCAAGGATAATCCAAAGACAACATGGTCAAGGAAAAGGACTTTCCTTTGGCTTTCTGGCTTGCTTTTGTATATTTAAGATTCGTGTGTACAACAGCAATGGGCACACTTTTTTAGCGGTGTTTGGTTTGGCATCTTGTGTTAACTCTCTGTGTTCTACTGACGTCAGGAAGAGGCAATCCTGAAGGACTATGGATGTAAGGAGAAACTAGCCAGGTATTGACACTGACCTTGGATAACTGCAGCTGGGCTTTTCAGGAGAGGTCAGACCCTGGGGTGTTTCCCGTAACCATCCTTTGGAATCAGCCCTGGAAGAATTACACCGTAACAGGGTCCACGCTGCACATCAGTGAGAATGGTAAGTCTCCACCTCACTCAGATCCCTCTCTGTCACAGGGAGTGTGGGTGATGCCTTATAAAACCCTGGGCTGTGCATGGTGGCACCTGGACTTCAATCTCGGCTCCACCATTTCTTAGCTGTGTGGCTCTGGGCAAGGTCTGAACCTCTCTGGGCTTCATTGTTTGATTTCCTCTGCAAAATAAGATCAGTCCGTCGTGAGGTTGTTATAGGCGATTAGTGATAATGTATGCCCAGGGCCAGCGGAGCGCACAACCCGTTCTCTGAAATACACTGGAACTCTGTCACCGCAAGCAGCAAGGACCAGCTCTCATCCCGAGAGTGGGAGGGGCACGTGGGCCTGCAGGTCTTAGCTGCCGTCCAGCACAGCATATGTTGTGATGGCTGTTAACATATGCACGAGCAGGCAGCCCAGATTCCTAAAATATTCTGAAAACCAGTAATAGCCTCGGTGTCGTCCCCTGTTAAATATAAAACTTAAGTAATTCATTCTATTAAAAAGCCTGGGTCTTATTTTTATCAGGTGATGCGATGAGGCCCTGTTCTAAATGCGCCTCTGTACCTGTCTCCATGGCAACCCCACTGTGCTCGTATATCCATAGATTTCTCCTGGAGACTAATTAAGTTGACAACTGCTAGGGCTTCTTGGTTTACCAGATTTGCACTTGACCCTTCTCTTGGGGCTTAGGGACCCCTATGGATGTGAAGTGATAAAGAAAAGAGTAACAGGTGGAAGAGGCCTCCTCGTGGACCCCTCTTTCAAATAGTTGTCCAGCAGCCTTTGGGGGTTGTCAATCATTCTCGCTGGATGAGCCAAGATTTAGTGGAGGTGAATGGGAAAACACATTAATGTCTGTCTCCCTCCCGCACAGGGCACCGTGAAGGATACATCAGTCCACTTGGGTGGCTTAGCTGCACCCACCTTTCTTATCAGCTGCACGGCAGAACATCTCTGATACCAACAGGCAGGCTACCCTCTATGACTCCTATTTATTGCATAATAAAGTTTAAACACCTCTGGAGTGACCCAAGGGGCAGGTGCACGAAGAGACATAAACGTGTAGATTGGGGAGAACTGCGCTCACTGGGCATTTCTTCCATTAGGTTTTGAGAAAGTGAGGATTGCCTTCCTCTGTGGATATTTGGAGAACAGAGAAAACTCCAAGGTAGCAAGTAAGGTTGCTGCTTGTGCTGGGTGTCATCATATCCCTGGTGTCAAAGCCTGTCCTTGACCACTCTGACACAGGGTCCTCGATGCCTCCCTCTGTCCCCTCCCCTGGTCTTGTGTGCACAGGCACCTCCATACCCCTGTTTCATGGTGGAGGTTGCTCACGGGACTTCATCGGTATGGGATGGACGAAGGGCAGAGGTGAGTGGCTAAGAAGAGTCCCTGCCCCAGACCTGAGCAAAGACAGGCATGGAAAGCTCATGAAACTTGCTGCAAAAGGGAGAATTCAAGGGGGGAGAATCCGGTCACATCGACCATCCCCTGCAGGGCTGAGTCGGCTGTTGCCTTGCTCACTGTTCTGAGCAGGAGCCTACACGAGCTTTGTTCTTCCTAAGGCCGGCAAGTGGGGCTGGGGGTCTGTGGGCCCCTCAGATGTAGGTACAGTGTCTGTCACAAGCAGGCTGCCTGCTGTGGCTGCAAAGCCCGTCTCCAGACTGGCCAGCATCTCCCCCACTAATAGCTTCTAGTGCCGCATGTGTGACCTTGTGGTTTTAAATCATGCCTTCAGGGTGGGTGCAATCTTCTACCCAGAGCTGGCAGAGGAGGGGGCTGAGCCCCTAGGGAGAGTCGGGCTGTCTCCAGGAGACCCCCGCTATCTCCATGAACCCCAAGCCAATCAACATATAGTATGTGAACATCCCTCTCCATCCAGTGGGCACCCCCAAGTAGAATGACCCAAATAAAGAGATAGTGATGCCTTAAAAACCCTGGGTACTTCCTCAAAGCCAGTGGTCGGCTCGGGCACTCCACTTGATCTTCTCTTGGGACAGATGCTTTTTCTGTCCTTTGCCAATCAAATAAAAGTTTGTGCTTCTTTGCAAACTGTTTCCTGGCTTTTTATTTCTGTATTGAGCCAAGGAAAAAAACTCACGAAACTCGCTCCAGCAAACACCCTCTCCAATGTGACCGATAACACTCCCCCAGTGAAACTCAACCACCCCCAGCTCTCACAGATGTAAGTGACAGCCCATGAACAGCCATAACCCTTGTCTCCCTAGTTCTTGCCTCCACCAACTCACGAGGGACTTCACCCCACAAGAAATCACCCGCAGGGTTTCCTGAAGTTCCAGAACCCGTCTCACGGGTGCTGTGAACATGCAACTGCTCCTGCCTTGGATCCCCACAGAGCATCTGCATGGACCATCTTGTCTACCAGCCCTTCCACCTGCTGCCGGATGGCTGATGGCCATGACCTTTCTTACTACAGCTCGGAAACGGAAGCCCTCAAGGAATCAAAGCTGCTTTCTGTTGAATTTCAAAGCCAGAGAGAATCCTTTAGACCCCTCTGCACGCTCTG